TCAGAGCTGAGAGACAAGGAGAGAGGTGATAGTGGTCAGATTTAGCAGTAAGAACTGTGGAAGAGGGAAGGTAAAGTCTCAATTTGCATTGTGTACATTTTACAAATGCAGTAAGTATGTGTGTGTGAGAGAGGAAGAGTGCTGTATTGGTGCAAAGTCTGCTTATAACACTGCCCCAACCTACCCAAAGCCCCCACTGCAGCCTTACCCATTATGTAATTGATCCCAGAGTGAATATTTGAGTTGCCAGAAACAATTTATATCTTTTTATCTTTCAGACAAGCCTCATACTGATTCCAGATGGGAGTGATACTTGAGTGTTGGAGTTTATTGCTTAAAAAAATGAATACTCTAAAGCCCTCTACTTCAAAAAAGACCCCCAGCTGCATTAAGTAGAATAGTGTCTGGGCTTGGCCAGGGAGCACTTTGGGGTATTGGGTACAGAGCAGAGGGGCAGTATGGGACTGTAGCACACAAGGAATTAAGCCCAGGGCCCCAGCACTGCAAAGCAGCATGTTCACCAATGCACTGTCCTGGATTTCTTGCTGACACCAGGTTCTGTTCTGTCCCGGGCTTCATGATAAGACCCGGCAGCCTGTAATACGACTTTACCTCATAATGCAAGCTGTGAGGACATCATGGGAGTCCCCTTCTCTGAAGGCAGCAGCTAATTCACGTCCTCATAACGATGCCGGAGTGTGTGTGGGGCACCTGCCCTGGAGACCTGATCGCACACTCACACTGCAGTGCTGTCTCGCAGCTGTGAGGACACACAGCTCCTTGGGGAAACAGGCTGCAAGCTCTTTTTAGGCCCGCAGATCTCCATGGATGAGTAACCGATCCTGGAGACAATAGCCAGAGACTTCGGAACCCAGAGGAACATGTACTGGGACAGTAACTATGGACACACACAAGATCAGGCTGGGTCCTGTCACTGGTCCTGATGGCATCCCCAGAGCCCACACCACTGGACGGACCAGTCTGTCTGCAGTAGCTCTGCCGTGCTGGGTACTGCAGCTCATGTGGACCACAGATTTGTAGGTCTCCAGGACCACAGATCCACAGAACCACAGAACCACAAGACCCCAGGTCCACAGGTCCACAGGTCCAGCACAAGTTCAGAGTTAGTCTGCAACATGCCTCTGAAGGCATCTCTGCTGGATCTCTAGCCTCATTGTCATGCTGAAAAATGAAGATCTCTGCAATCAGATGAGTTCCAAATGGAGCAGTTGTCTTGACTTCAAAAACACTCCCAGGTAGTCTCAGATCCAGCCTTGTCTCTCACTGTAGATCTCTGGAATAATAGCTGTTCTCAGAAGAAGCTGGCATTACCTGTATTAAAAATAATCAAACATGGGACTCATCAGACCGTAACAGTGCCAACGCTGTATCTCTGCAAGTTGGTTGAAGTTCATATGCAGGTCCATTCAAACCTGTGGTGATCCTCTAACACAGCTCAGAGACAGAGCTCCTCCTGGGTGACAGCTCCACTCTGGATTTCGGTCTTGCTCGGGGGAAGTTTTGCCTTTCTGGTCTCTGTGAAAAACTCATCGAGAAAGGAAAATAATAGAATTTTAAAAATCAAAACAACCCAGCATGCTCATTACATTCATTGTGAGTGTGACGAAACACTACGACACTGAACTGATCGTGTGGTTTCCAGGGTGTGCCCAGGGTGAAGTGTTTTTCCAGAAGCCTATACTGCTTTTTCTTCCCTGGTCTGATGGGTCTGCTCTGTGTGCAGTATATAAAGCCTTCATGCTCCATTAGCAGCTACAGCCTTTCTAAATGAGGTTTATACAAAGCCTCACTGGTATATTGCCATCAGTTCATCAAGAAGCAAACTCTCTGTCAATGACCTGTGCAGAGTCTAGAAAATACAAAGCACACTGTCAGACTATACAGCACTCTCTCCACTTCTCTCTCTCTCACTCTCTGGTTAAATACTTAAACTGCACTTCTTAAATATCTCTATTATTCTCCTTCTGCCTCTCAGCTCTAACATGCAATCCACAGAGATCTTGAGCCCAGTCTGGCTCATCCACAGCCCACACTCCATCATCAGCACTGGGAGACACTCTGTCAACAGACTGCACAGCACTGGGAGACACTGTCATCAGACTGTACAACACTGGGAGACACTCCATCATCAGACTGTACAACACTGGGAGACACTCTGTCATCAGACTGTACAGCACTGGGAGACACTC